ATAAAACTTCCCTTTTCAATGTAGAAGCTAAATCCAGTAAATTTAATGCATCATTAAAGCATCACTATATTTTAAAATATTGATCACATTGACAGGCTCTTCCATAACATTTTACCCATTCTCACCCTATCCTTAGACAATCACTAATCTACATTCAGTCCCTGTAGATTTTTCCTTTCTGGATAGATCCTATAAATTGAATTATATAATATTATATAGTATTATGTTGTGGTTGTTGTTGATTGCCTTCAAGTCGAGCACGACTCATAGTGACCCTATGAACAAAAGGCCTCAATCCGCTTCTACAACCATTGACATTTATCAAAGTTCATAGAGTTTCTGGAGGCATGTTATTTAGGAAGTGGATGCCATTCCTGCTATGTTATATTATATAATGTAATTATATAATAGTCTTCTGTGTCTGTCTTTGTTCACGTCGCATGTTTCTGAGACCAGTATTTCATTCCTTATTATTGCTGCATGGTGGGGCACTGTATCAGTATTTCAAAGTACATATGTAAGGCTGCTTACGTGTGTTCTGAGATGAATTAATATGAACAACATACAAGTGGATGGATTAAAAAAATATATATATATATAAAACACATTTAAAAAAACCCAAACAAATGGACGGATGTGCTTATTCTCTACACTTGCCTTACCCATCACTGGAAATATTTCAATTTCATCAAGAATAGTATAAGTAACTTACAAGCATCAGTTTGACAAAAGTTCTAGATAATCATCAGGATTCTTTCTCACCCAAAAATCCTGAAATCACAGATATGAGATTTCATTATCTGACTCCTTAAGACTAAAGCTACATCTATCTAACTTTTGTGGCATGATGCCTTTCACATCATTCACATATAAACAGGAAGAGAATTTTCTTTAAAACTACAGCACAGGAAGGCATAGGCACAAGGGATCCTTTGATTGAACGCTCGGGAAGCCCACCATGGAAACACAGGTCACACGAGCAGGAGATACCATCTTAATTCAAAGTTGGCACAAACTGTCCCTGTTAAAAATATTAATTGCAGCAGCAACTTTTATCAGGAATTTCCAGTGTGGTAAGCATTGAGGCTAGGGAAGCTCAGTAACTCACCCAAAGTCTCAGCACAAAGTTAATGGGGTGAGGATTAAGGTCCAGATTATCTGACCTCAAAGCCCACTCATAAGCCTACACAGTTTAAGAGCCAGGGTGTTCACACATACAGCCAAAATCAACTTGCTTTGCAAGGCTGTGGTCTAAGATCGGCTCTAAATTTAGGGAAACTAAAATCAGTTCATTTCAAAGGTAATTTCTATTTTTCTGTTTCATTTCACATCAAGCATTTCAGAAAATGCAGGATTCAGATTCCAATTCCAACTTCCTTCCTTGAGAAGTTTTTTTAGAGGTAAACTTGGCTTTATAAATTTTATTTTATTTTCTTTTTTTACAAGTGTGGGAAAGCAATTTTGACTGAATGCATGATGTGGTGAATTTGTGTGGTTCATTGCAGTGTTGGTTCAATAACAGTTCAGTTCTAGTTGCTGGGTCACAATTCTCAGAGAAGGAGATGTGCCTTTCCTCATCCCAGGTGGGAGAAACTAGCTGCTTGACAGAAAACCAAGACTGCTTCTAGAATGGACAACCAGACAAGGCTTGTGGCTCGAAGACTGGGGTTTGCTGAGAGCTCGCTTCTCTTTCTCCAGGTTTCATTAACATGTTTGATTCCCTCATACAGACCAGCTGGAGAGTTTACAAAAGGGAGGCCCCGCCAAGTTCTCCACCTGCTAGGCCTCCAAAACAATAGACGTCCCTGGGCTGGTAGCTGGATCTACCTCTTGCATCGTCTCCAGGAAAACAAGCTTTCTTGTTTTCCCAGATGTTGCGCATGTTTGAGTTGTAGCATCACCCAAATATGAGAACAAGGTCCCCCAGGCCTTGTGTCCCTGTAGCCCTTTCTCCCCACAAATGTCAGTGTTTGGGTTTCACCTGCTGCTGAGCTACAAAGGCAGAAAAAAACAATTGCGGCTTTGTCCCTCCTAAATAATGATTTCAGTCCTGTTTGAATTAATAAATGTCCTTATTAATCCTTGAAAGCATTTAGATCAATTTCTTTATCTTCTAGTATTTGGGGGAAAGAAAAAAAGACTTCTTTGGATCTGTGATCCATCAATCACTAGTAGATCCAAACTTAACTTCTACGAGCAATTTGAAATAGTTTTGCAAAATTCTCAAAAAGGCCTATTGTTGTTGCTGTGTACCACGTAGGTGGAATCAACCCATAGCTGACCCTCTGGTGGGTTTTAAGAGGCAGTTAACGGCACGGCATTGGAGGAAATTGCCGCAGGGCAGCTGGTGGGTTTAAACTGAATGTCTTCAGGATTGCAGTGCAGCTTCTTGCCACTAGGCCAATTCCTACATTGTTGTTGTTGCTATGTGACGTCGAGTCGTTTGCGACTCATAGCGACCCTAAGTACAACAGCCCTAAACCCTGCTCTATCCCGTGCCAATCGCATTGCCTCCGACACACCTATCCTGATTACCCCAGTCACTGAATCAATCCACCTCATAGAGGGTCTTCCCCTCCTGCGCTGTCCCTCCACCCTCCCAAGCATGATGTCCCTCTCCAAGGACCGGTCTCTCCTTACAACATGTCCAAAGTATGTCAGACGAAGCCCCAGAATCCTTGCCTCCAAGGAGTAGCCTGGTTTAACCCTCTCTAGGATGGATCTACGCCTACATTAAATATAAGTTTAATATTAAAACTTTTTCCTTTAAACTCTAAGTCACACTAGTCAGAGACTATTTTCACTCTGGGTTACTTATTCTACATTTTGTTCTAAAAAAAGTATTTCCAAGTCTCAAAGAAGGGGGTTCTCATAAAATTGATATTTGGGTATTTCCTAAGAGTATGTTGAAAAAAGAAGCCTGGCCTTGGAAAGTTAGTTATCCACACAACTAATTTCCTAAGAGAGAGGAAATAATTTTACATCTATTTTACAGATACAAGCTGTACAGACTGAGTCAAAACACACCATTTCTTTATTTTCAAAGCTGAGGACCTTTCTCATTCTGAACTACTTTAATTTCCTCCTTCACATTAAATTGTACTTTAACTTGACAGGAACATTAAAGAACTTCAAAGATCATGAGTAATTAAATTGAGTTCCTCTTTGTGCAAGCTTTCTCAAGAGCCGTGGAGATAAGAGGTAAGGGTCAAAAATACCAAAGCTCTGGGCCCTTATCTTTATATTGTTGCTATTGTTATGCGTCCCATTGAGTTGGAACCAATTCATTGCTGACCCTCCAGGGGGTTTTCAGAAGTTGTAAATCACATGGGAGAAAGAGATTGCCAATCTTTCTCCTGAGGGGCAGCTTGTGGATTCAAACCAGTTACCTTTGGATTGGAAGTGCAATTCCTTACCACTAGGTCATCAGAGCTCCCTATCTTTATGGTCGACACTGACATAAGATTTTATATTGAAAACAATGACGACAACAACAACCAAAAAAAATGGAAAGACATTGCTTTAGACCATTTCCTGTATTTTATAGATTATAAAAACAAGACCAAAAGCAAAACAACCAAAAAGCTCTTGCAATCAAAAGAGGAGTAATTTTCCCAAGATCACATAGTTCAGTGCTTTGTCAGGACCATCCCAAGTCTCTATGTCATCATTCACTCTCTTTCAGAAACTGGCTCAGGTGGCTAGTCTGGAAGAAAGTAGCTCTGGTGCCAGGTGACCTCCTGTATTTCCTGACCTGTATCTCCTCTAAAGGACTGGTATCTTTTCCACCAAGTACACACCTGGTCTCACCTTATCAACATAGTTGGCGATCTCTATGAGTTTTTGTTTGGTGGCTTCTGGGTCTCGTCGATTCTTCTGAAACTGAAAAGGGAAAGAAAAACCAAGTGAGAGCCCAGAACCTCTCCAGTACCCCTCTTATGCTCCATTACTTATCTTGGAATCAGTTAATTTCTTTTGTTTTCTATGATTTGTCATTTTTATACAACTATTACCCTGATCATAGCATCACTAACTGAATTGCAGGGCCTTGTTCTTCTACATCTCAATATTCACATTTGTTAGTCCAGCTCTTGCATGGTTTCTGTTACATTTTTTTGTTATTAGCTACCTACCGTCAAGGCAGAACTGACTTGATCCTTCAGCTACTTTTCAGAGACAGTAATTCACATGGCAAGAGATTGCCCTTTTTTTTTTTTTTGCCCTCAGAGCAGCTGGTGTATTTGAGCCATGTTCCTTTGAGTTGGCTGCAGAATTCCTTTCAATATATGTAATAATATGTAATAAACATGTACTAAACAGAACTGTCTTTCTCTAGCTCTTAAAGTAAATCTTATTCTCTCATCCTTCAACATACAAGGCCTCACACAAACTTTCTATAGGGCTTAGAAGAAGGACTCACTTGACTTTTGTCTTTATCATCAATTTAACTTGATGTCACCATCCTAAAGATCTCACAAGACTTCCTATGATTATCCAGGTCAGTCAACACTGGTCAAACAGTCGTCAAGAGCATTGTGCTCAGCATTAAGTAAGATGTAAGGAAGTGTGAGATCCTGATCCTTGTCCAGAGGAGCTCCAATGAAAACAAAGGGAAAGCCAGAAACAACAATGATGGGCACTGTGATTAAAGAGCATACAACTGAAATGAGAAATCCTGTTGTGAAAGCATGCACAGAAGTAACCACAATGAAAGGCCACGTACTTGACTGGCGTGCAGCTGGTGATGGGAAGATGGCATCCAGTTAGGGATGGCAGATAGGCATCATCTTACATGCCATACAAGTCAACTGTGCCTTGACAGCGAGAATCCTGAGACTGAGGTGCAATAGGAAGGGGTACTATGCTCGATTAGTAAAGTCCATCTCAGAGAGCTGAAGAAGGACTTCTCTGTCTGAATGCTTTACATTGGTCACTCTGGCCTCAAAAAGCATACTCTTTTCCAGCCACAAGATGAAATCAAGTTTCAGAAAGAAAAATGAAAAGATACTACAACTGTAATTTAAATATATAAGTGATAGCATGTCCTATAGGTTGTGGTTGTTCTAAAGAACCTGTGTGCCTATTTACATTGTTGTTGTTAGATGCCATAGAGTTGAGCATGACTCATACTGACAACATGAACAAAAGCTCTGAACCCTGCTCTATTCTGCACCATCCTCACACTTCCTGACACCCAACAGTCCATTGCAGCAGTCACTGTGTCAATCCACCTGGTTTAGGGTCTTCATCTCTTTCACCAATCCTCCACCCTTCCCAACATCATGTCCCTCTCCGAGCAATAGCACCTCCTAGCAATATGTCCAAAGTCATTCTTTCCTCCAAAAAGCACTCTGGCTGCATCCTCTCCAAGACATAGCTGCTTGTTCTTTTGGCAGTCCATGTTCTGAACTCTTTTCCAATGCCACAGCTCAAAGGCGTCAATTCTTTTCCTGTCATCCTTATTCATTGTCCAGGTCTCGGATTCATAGCAATTAATCAGAAAGACCATGGCCTGAATCAGATGCACCTTAGTCTTCAAACTAACATCACTAATTTCAGTAATTTAGAAAGGTTTCTAACTGCATATTTTCACAGTGTAATGTTTCTCCTTATTTCCTGACTGCTGGTACCAAGGGTGTTAATTGTGGATCCAAGCAAGATGAAGCTGTTGACAGTTTCAATCTCCTCTCCATCTGCCATAACGCTGCCTATCTGTCCAGTGATAAGAATTTTTGTTTTCCTGACATTGAGATGAAATCCATACTGAAGGCTTGTAACTATTTACATTAGGTAAATGGTACATAGGTTGTTTCAATTTGAATCTTTCACTTCCTTCTTCACCTCATTCTATAAGAATATCCAGGCAAAACCCAAAAAGAATGATCAAATGAATCATCCAAGGATATTTGTTTAAATGAGCTGGGTGCTAAACCTGACACAGACCTTTTCAATCTATATATGGAACAGATCATATGGGAGGCTGTACTTTATGGGGAGAAATGTGGGAACAGGATTGGCAGAAGAATTTTCAACAACATGAGCTATGTAAATAATACAACCTTGCTTGCCAAAACTGAGGAGGACCTGAAGTGCATAAAAGAGGAAGACCCTGGATGAGATGAATTGACACAGTAACTGGGGTCATGGGTGTAGGTGTCAGAGACAGTGAGATTGACTCAGGATAGGACAGCATTCGGAGGAATAGTACATAGGGTCACTGTGAGTCGCAGGTGACTCAATGGCACATAACAACAACATTTGCATCAGTGAAAATTCTTCTAAAAATGTCTAAAACACAAAATAGGTTTTGTACTAGACCTGGTCATGAGTTATTGCTTGACAAGCACTATTTAAAGTAAAGAGTATCTGCACCTTCTAATTTCTAGGAGACTCAAGAAGGAAAACATAGTGAATTATTTATCTTTTCCTAAGTACTCCCATATTCTGTGTATGATAGAAAAATCCTTTTCCTGTCTGTTTGTATAGGTATCCTGCCACCGCACAACATCCTCTCTTGCTCTTTCCCCCCTCAGGTTCTGCATTTTATCCAAGAAATGAAAAGGCTGAGCACTACCTCAGATGCTCCCATCTGGCCCCAGGCAGCGAGGAGCTGTGTGATCCTTTTCTGTCTCTGACAACTTTCTTGGCAGCAGCACTGCGTCTCCCTTCCTACTCCCAGCTCTGAAGTCAGAGCCCAAGAGAGGCCTACCATGCTTCAACACCAGTATGTAAATCATAGATAAGGCAGCCCTCTTCTCCACCTTGTCATTTTTTCAGAGAAATCCTGTTCTGCGTGCAGAGGATAAGGAGTGTGGGAGAGGTTGTGTGGGTCCTTTGTGAGCCTGTGGACTCAGCCTCGCCTCTTATGAAGCCCACTCATCATTCCCTCACATGAGTCACTCACAGCCTTTGGCAGGAGAGCTCCTGGGGCCTGATAAATGCGCACATCCCTTAACCATGAAATCTGCATGAAATAGTCTAATTGGATCCCCACTAAAAATGCCTGCATAGTGGGTGCTGAGGGTGTTAACTTCTGCAACAGGAAAAGAAAGCAAAGAACCACTGGGATCTAGTGACACCCCTTTGGCCAAATATTTTTCTTCTTGGAGTTTGCTGTGACCCTAGAGGTTGGAAGAACTAAGAAGCCAAATCACTGCCCCACCTCCACATCAGCAGCCACAGGGGAAACCCCATAGGGAGCGTTCGTCATTGCATTAAGATTCCCTTGGGGTGCCTGGGGCAAATGCAGGGCCAGAGGAGTGCAAGGCTCCATCCAAGTCTAAACTAGAGCAAGCTGAGTTTATATATGCTGAAACAATGGGACTCCCAGAGTTTCCATTTAAACAAAGATTTAGAGGGATTTAGAGGTGGTGGTGGAAGGGAAGACCAAAGACAATAGTGTTAGATAATCGTAGGTGCAAAGTTGAAACTAAGAAAGGTCCTGGAGCCAGAGGAGCTCAGCCTTCTTCCTGCCCCTTTCCCACTCTAGGTAGCTAGTATGAGTGCTGCTGCTATGAGGCTGGAGATAGGGCTTTGGGGGTTGTTCGGTGATTGTGGAGCCTTTCCTGGTGAACCAGCTTTGGCTTTGCTCTCTGCACTGCTTCATATCCTATAGTCTTGGAGAGAAAAAGAAAAGAAGTAGCGTGTGGGGGCGGGGAAGCACAAAGCTGCTGGGAAAAGCAATACTGACATCGATGAAAAGTTAAATTCTTCTCAAAGCAGAACATAGTGTTCCTTCAGCTGCAAGGCCCTTCACATCCACTTCTCTGCCCAATTAACTCTTACTGGTCCTGTAAGAGCGTTCAAGAGGTCCCTCCTCTGCCGATAAGGCAGGCATCTCAACATGGTCTCCTGTTCCGTGCCTTGAGACTCCAGACCAGATGATGGTTGTTATTAGGTGCTGTGGAGTTAACAGCAAGCAGCTCACTATAAAAGAGTAGCCCTGTTTCATAGGTTCGCTTTGTGGAAGCAGACCACTCAGTCTTTCCTGCTGCAGCACTGCTAGGTGGATTCCAACACCCAGCCTTTCTTATAGCAGCTTAGCATTTCACCATTGCACCACCAGGCTCCATCCAGCAGGCAAGGCTGTCGACCGTGAGGATTTCCGGTAGCTGGTAATGATTCATTTGGAAGACTACAAGACAGGCCTGTTTTGCAATGAGTTGTGTTTTAAAGGGATTCCCAGGGGATCATGCATTGTGCTACAATACCAAGAGCACTCAGCTCATCATTATATCATGGTCACAAAGCGTATAGACTCAGCTATACAGCTGCAACTAGAGAGAACTAGAGGTAAAATGCGGCAAATGCAGGGCCCATTTCTCTATTTTCACATCTAAGTCTGTTCTTAAGGTGTGTCAGACATTTCCATCTTAGAACAGATTTTGCTATTTCTCAAACTACACTGGATCTCTTTACATGGTCTCTAATACACTGTACTTTTCCATCTTCACAGTTTTACTCACGGAACTATGGTTTCTTGTGCTCTTTCTGTAAAAACTGTAATGTCAAGGCTGGGTCTGTCTAGGTTAGAGCTGTACCTGCTGGTGCCAGACTCAGCCCATGATAGAAAACCAAGAATCAACTAATAAGTGAAGTAAAAAAAAAAAAGGTGAATGAAATGTTCATGAACTCAGAATGCAAAGACTTTAAAGAACATGTCCAATTCGTGGAATACAGAATTAAAGATTAAACTTCAAGTTCTTCAAGTCAGTAGTTCTCAAATTTAACCATGTATAAGATCACCCAGAAGACTCAAACATGAATAGGTGAATCCTACCTCCAGTCCTTGGAGAAGGACATCATGGTGGGAAGGGTGGAGGGAGAATACAGGAGAGGAAGACCTTGGATGAGATGGATCGAAACAGCAACTGGGGTAATGGGGGTAGGTGTGCTGGAGACAGTGAGACTAGCTCAGGATAAGGCAGGGTTCAGATCTACTGTACTATGATCACTATGAATTGCAGATGACTCGGCAGCACATAACAACCACCTCTGTCTGCAATGGTAAGAAGCTGCACTGCAATCCCAGTGCATGAATCTTGAATCTACCAGACGCTCTGTGGGAGAAAGACGGGCAATCTCCCATGCAATTTACTGCCTCTGAAAGAAATCCTGGCAGATCAACTATGAGTGGGTTCCAACTTGACAGCAAACAACAACCACCACCACCTCAATAATGTAAGAGTCACTTGGTCTGGAGCATTTGTGTTTTTCACATATATTCAAATGATGCTGATAATACTGATCTGTGAACCACAGTTCAGGAGCAACTATTGCAGGTTTTCATTTGGAACCAGTATAATAAACAAGAATTCATCCATGGGCAAGAAACTTAGGTTTAATCAGATGTCATTTTCTTTGTAATTAAAACATACTATCTTAAAATTTCTTTAGAGAATGAATAGATTGCCCCTAAGAAAAAGTTCTCAAATCTAAAAAGTCTTCAAACTCTGTCTAAAAATATTACTTCAGGTAACTGTCCTGATTCTCTATCTGACTGATAAATTGAGTTACAATAGACTTTTCCTGTTTGTTCCCCCCCCCCCCCGCTATATGTAAAATGGCAAAAAAGAGTCCTTGATCCAATTTTAGGTCAAAATTGTCTGACGAACCAGAGAAAGCTGAATGTGTCAGCATTTCCCCAAAGTAATTTGAAAGCTGGAAAGGTAGTTGTCAAAAGAGTAATCTGTCTGCTAAAGTCCCCTGCCTCTTGCTTACCTCTGCATAATCAGCCACAAGGTAAAGTTCCACGTACTTCGTGGAGTGTAAATCTTCCCTTTTCATCTGAGAAAGAAATATAGGATATAAGAACTGTAGAAATAGTAGACTTGGCTTTATTTCAAATAATTTCTGGGAAATGGAGTTCATTAGTCAACAGTGGCCCTTCTCACTCATTTTGTACCCTTGCGGCAGCTTTGGCTGTGGTCACCTGCCCCTGCTATCTGCCACCTTGATCATTGCTGGAGGCTGCTTTGGAACTGTGGACCTAATCTCAACAAACCTCAATGGAGTGGGCGAGAAAATACCACCCGACCAGAGGCCGCCATAGTTTGAGAGAACAGGCTGGCTAGCAAATTCCCAAAGAATACGAAAACCACATATCTCTATTTTCAGTATAAATAAATACAACATGATTGTGCATATGGCTAAGCAGTTATTTTGAAATAGTAAGCACATTTTTTCTACATTTTAAGCTTTCTGAAATCAGTACCTCAGCATATTTTAAATGGGGTAGTATTTTCCCAGAGTGCAGTTATTGTATTAACTAGTACATTGTTGTTGTTGTTAAGTGCCGTCGAGCCGTAGACGACTAATAGCGACCCTATGAATGAAAGACCTGAATATTTGTATAACTTTCTTCATTTCTCTAAGTTCATAGGGTTTCCAAAGGCAAGCTATTTTGGAAGAGGATGCCAGATAATAAAAGAATGGAAAAGAAAAAAGCTATTTCCTCCTTTATAACTAACTCCTCATTTTTTAAAACTACACACACACAGGTCCGGGTCCTCAGAGTGGACAAGTCTATTCCCAGGTTGAGCCCTACACTGAAACTTAAAACTCACCCTGCGAGGTCGCTTCTTGGTCTGGTTTGTAAACTGAAGGGCCCAGTCTTTGGCGATGGGGATGGAGTGCTGGAACCCACAGTTCCCTGAGGGCAGCTTGAGATGTTCAGATCTGTAAATCAGGTGCTGGCCCTCGCTATCTGGGAGGGGCTCGATGATGTAGCTGAGGTTACTAGTCACCATAATCAGTCCTCTGTTGATGGAGAAACAGAACATCTCTAGTTAAAGATCAGATCCCTAGAAAGTCCCTTCCACAGGTCTCAATTTCTGCATATAGATTCAATTGAGTTTTTAACCTTATTATGGGATCTGCCCCTTTGTGAGAATCTGATACAAGCTATGAACTTCCTCTCCAGAGAATGTATGTGTATATACATATATAATGCATGTTGGTGGTGGTGGGTACCATCAGGTCAGAAATGATCCATAGTTGACCATTCAGCAGGTTTTTAGAGGATGTACATCATAGGGAGGAGATGTCCATCTTTCTCCCGTGGGGCAGGTGGTAAATTCAAATCCCATACCTATGGGTTGGTAGTGGAACTCCTTAACACTAAGATAGATACATATACTTTTTCTATATTTTAATATATATTCATATTTAAGTTTTAAATTTACATTTTTAAATTTTAATACATAAATTTTTATATATAAATTACATATATATATATATATATATACACACACATTAGGCCTTTTGTCCATGGAGTCACTGTGAGTTGACCTTGACTTGATGGCAAACCCTATGAACCTGGAGAGAGGATGAAAGACACCCAAGCATTGAGGACTCCTCTCCTTCATAGGGTTGCTATGAGTCACCTGTGACTCAATGGCATATATATATGTATGTTGTTAGGTGCCATCGAGTACAACTCATAGAGACCCTATGAACAAAAGATCTGAATCTAATCTTGTCCTACCTAGGCCATCCTCACATTTCCTGACACACAAGAGCCCATTGCAGCAGTCACCATGTCAATCCACATGGTTGAGGGCCTTCCTTTCCTTCGCTGACCCTCCACCCTTCCCAACATCATGTCTCTCCAAATAATAGCACCTCCCAGCAACATATCCAAAGTATGTGAGGTGAAGCCTCATCATTCTTGCCTCCAAAGAGCCCTCCAGCTGCACTCTTTCCAAGACATATCTATTCGTTGTTTTGGCTCTCCAGTACTCTTCTCCAGCACTACAGCTCAAAGGTGTCAATTCTTTTTCTGACATCTTTATTCATTGTCCAGATCTCAGATGCATAGCTAGTAATTGGAAAGATTATGGCCTGAATCAGGTGCACTTTAGTTCTCAAACTGACATCACTACTCTTCCCCTAACTACAGATTTTCCCAGTACAATGTATCTCTTTATTTCCTGACTGCTGGTACCAATGGGTGTTAATTGTAGATCCAAGCAAGATGAAGCTGTTGACAGTTTCAATGTCCTCCCCATTCATCATAACACTACTTATTCATCCAAATCTTTGTTTTCTTGATGTTGAGACACAATCCATACTGAAGGCTGTATTCCTTGATCTTCTGCAACAAGTGCTTAAAGTCCTCCTCACTTTCATCAAGCAAGATTGTGTCATCTACATAATGCAGATTATTGATAAGTCTCCCTCCAATCCTGATACCACATTTGTCCTCACAGAGTCCATATTTTCAGATAATTTGCTCAGCATATAGATTGAACAGGTATGGAGATAGAATACATTGATAACGCACTCCCTTCCCAATTTCAAACCATCCAGTGCTCCCCTGCTCTGTTCACACAGCAGCCTCCTGATCCAGGTATAGGTTTCTCATAAACACAATCAAGTGCTCTGAGATATCTATATATCTAGATATATAATTTTATATATAGTTTCAGAGGAACCCTAGTGGTGCCACAGTTAGCCATTCGGCCGATAATGAAATTTCTGGTTGAAACCCATCAATGGGATAAGAATCTGCCAATCAAATCTTAGAAACAGTTTTTTTTGGTTTTGGGTTTTGGTGTGGTTTTTTGGTGTTTTTTGTGTTTTGTTTTGTTTTTTTCTGAGAGCAAGAGAAAGAAACTAAGGTTTATTAAATGTTCATAACATATTATGAATGGGTCAGGACAGACTGACTCCATTTTTATCTTACAAAAGGATTTCTTTCTCTTTTGTTAGCAGGGAGTGGAGTTTAAACAGCTGATGGTGCATTCCTTCTAATGGATGTGGTGACTTTGGCCATCTCATTTATCTTTTCCTTGAGTCTGTTGTTTTTCCACATTTCTTGAGGGTCTGTTTTGGTTGTCATATAGCACATTCCTTGAGGGTGGGTCAGTTTCTATTGTTATATTGACACAGTCTTTGTCAAAACCAGTTCTGATTGATCTCCTTTGTCAGCATGCCCTTTGCCATTCCCCTGGAATACCAACTCATCTCCTTCTTTTGTCTCTCATGGTCATTGGTACAGTCAGGAGGTTCTTTGCTAGTTCAGCAGTGTGATGTAGCCAGGGTCAAACAGTGTGGAGAGAATCCTCCACTGACACAGTAGCTCATGTCCATCAGTGTAGGCCAGAGTTCTTGGCTTTGAAAAAAAAGCCTTTGGGTCGATAGTGTTCAGCTCATTTTGAAGTGCAGAAAGAGCAGAAACCGTTTTTAAAAAGAAAAATCTCTCTGCTGTCACATTGATTCCAACATATTCCAACCCTACAGAACAGAGTAAAACTGCCCTTGTTATTGTTGTTGTGTGCCGTTGAGTCAACTATGACTAATAGTGACCCTTTGCACAATAGCTGTGAAACCTACTCTTTCCTGAACCAATCTCACTGTCTCTGAAGCACCTACCCTCACTACCCCAGTTATTGTGTCAATCCATCTCATTCAGGGTCTTCCACTCCTGTGCTCCCTTGCCCTTTCCAAGTACAATATCCTTATACAAAGACTGGTTTCTCCTGGGAACATGGCCAAAGTATGTGAGACAGAGTATAAACATCCTTGTCTCCAAGGAGCAGCTTGGTTTTACCCTCTCTAGGATAGACCGGTTAGTTCTCTTGACAGTCTATGATATGTTCAATACTCTTCTCTAGCACCACAATTCTTCTTCCATCATCCTTGATCATTGTCGAGCTCTCTGATACATACCAAGTAACTGCGAAGACTGTGGCCTGGATCAGGTGCACCTTGGTCTCTAGATATCATTGCTTTTCAGCACTCTGGAGAGGTTCCTGATAGCAGATTTTCCTAATACAATCGGATATCCAAGTCTTTATGGAAGTGGTAAATCTTTATGGAAGCATACTGCCTCATGGTTTTCTCAGTAACTGATTGATAGATTCAAAGCATTGCCCTTCTGACTAAGGTCCTAATACTTAATCCGCTGCATCACCAGGGTAGAAAATTCTATGTGCAGTTATACTTTGTCATACAAGGATCTGTGAAACTAACTCATGTCACACAACAGCTATGCTCATTACAATAATTCCCGAGTGTTGTGAATGATTAATACTTTTGCTGCTAACTGAAAGGTTAATGGGTCAAGTCCATTGTTTTTACTGCGTACCATCAAGTTGGAATCGACACGTCGTATCTGTCACTCCAACAAGTTTTCAGAGGAATTAAATCACATGAGAGGATACTGTTCATCTTTCTCCCATGGAACTGCTAGTGGATTTGAACTGCTTGCCTTTGGGTTGGCAGCACAACTCCTTGCCACTAAGCCAACAATGTCGCCCAATATCTCGAGTCTATTCAGAGGTATTTTGGAAAAATCAATCATTAAACATGCCATAGAGTATGGTCAAACTCAGACACCATAAACAACTGGTTCAGTTTGGTGTGGTTTTTTTGGTAGACTCATTCCTGGACTCTAGATTAAGACTCCCTGGACTAGAAAAGTTTACAGAGTTCTAAAAAGATTGGATTGGGTCAGTTAATATCTATAAAAATATGCTACAACAAATATTTCTAAAAATATCCTCAGATCCAAATATGATCCATGATAAATCACAGCATAAAACTTGACAGACTCAGCAAAAGGCAATCTAACTGCCAGAAGGCAGCCACACTGTACTGAGCTGAGGAGACCCAGGTTCTTGTTTTAGCTTAAACACAAAAGTGCTACATGTTCTTCAACAAAGCTCTTAAATCACTCTGAGCCTCAATTTCCTCATCTCCCAAAGGGAGATCCTTTACTGACTCAACAGAGATGATTCTGTGTAAGGACCATGAACTGGAGGTCAAAAGCCCAATCCTGCAAGTACCAACTTTACCACATCAGCAAGGCAGCTCTTTGCAGAAGTGGCACCCATAGTCAAGGATGAGTGACTGCATTTTCCCCTTGATTCAGGTATCACTGTTGGACATAGAATAAAACTACTTGTCATTCATTTTATTCATTCACTCACTGAGCCTGGCTCTGTGTTAAACATAATCTCTGTCCTCAAGTGCTCCACAATCAGTGGAGGGCAGACATCCATCCCACAAACATTTACCGAACTCTTGCTATCTATCAAGCTTTATGTTAGTTGTTGAAGATGGAATAACGAGCAAGACAAACACAGGATCTCCTCTCTGGGAGTTTAAAGATGTGAGAATAAATCATTATAAAGTATGTTAAAACAGTACTGGTCCTGGGAGAAGGACATCATGCTCGGAAGGGTAGATGGACAGAGCAGGAGAGGAAGACCCTGGATGAGATGGGTTGATACAGTGACTGGGGTAATGGAAGTTGGTGTGTCAGATTTAGTGAGACTGGCTCAGGACAGGGCAGGCTTCAGAGCTGCTGTACACAGGGTCCCTATGGGTCGCAGGTGACTCGATGGCACATAACAACAACAACAAAACAGTATATTGCCATCAAGTTGGCTTTAGCTCAAACAGACTCCATGTGTTACAGAATAGTCAGTCCACAGGGGCTTCTAGGCTGGAACTTTTATGCTTACAGATCACCAGGCCCTTTGTCCTGCAGCAAGGTCCCATCGCTCACAATACAAATTAGAGACAAGGATTCTGAGGCCTTATCTGGGATCGGCAGGAAGAGTGCATCCATTTACTGTTTATCACTACCATAAATAATTAACTGATGGGTGAAGAGAGGCCCATGTAGCTGGCGTTTGTCATCCTTGGTACATTATGATGAATACTACCAAGGAAATGCATCCAGAGCTCCAAGAGAAGGAAGCTCAGGAGTAAATCCTAGGGGATTGAGCAGCACTTTTGTGCTCCCAAAA